ACCTTATGATCGATGTCACTTTGCGGACTTCTGTCTCCTAAGGAGACGCATAAAGATACATGTCCAATAATTTTGTCATTGTGCTGTTTATGGTAGCAGAAAGTTGGAAACGACCTAAATGTTCAATAACATAGGATGATTGGCTATATAAATTATGGTATATTCTGGAAAGGAAATTCTATAGTTTCATTAAAAATTATGCTGAAATACATCTGTTGACATGGAATTCTCGACAAGCAAAGAATAAATTATGAGCAACATGATCCCATTTTTGCAAAAAATATGCATGCATAGGATTTGACCTATATATAAATATAAAAAGGTCTGGGAATATGTATAGATTATAGAAGTTTATTTTATTTTTTTGTTTTGCTTGTCTGTATTTTATGAGGATTTTTTGGTAATAAGTATGTATTATTTTCGTAATGAGTAAAAATAACAATAAAAAAAAACTTTGGAGTTAAAAATGAGATTCTGAGAAACACTGGCAAGGGAGTCCTTTGCTCCAGGCAAATGTTCCCCCCAAAATCCTTCAAATAAATATCTTTTAAATGTCTACAAAGAAGCGGGCATCATACATCTCCGTATGTTTTTCTCTTCTACATGCCTTCCAAACCCTGGGCCAGGGTTTCACATGCCAGCCCTGTGACAAACGCAAGTGCCACTTGCCAGCTCAGTCCACAAGATGGGTTAGGGAACATGTGATCTGTGGACACAGCAAAACCGCATGGCAGGCCAGAGAACTCTAAATGGATTTAGGGGTGCTGGCTGCAGGAGAATGGAAGGAGTTGAATCTGGGGAGATTGATAGGAATCAGAACACAGGGCGCCTGAGTATCAACGAGATAGGCTTAGATTCTATCCTGAAGGCAGTGGGGAGCCATCAATGGATATTGAGCAGGAGAGTGGCACAGTGGGTCTGGGTTTTAGAAAACAAAAATCTTACCTTATGTACATCTCTTCCCTGTTGTTATCTTTGTAGAAATTCTAGATAAAGGGGGAAAAAAAACAGTGATGAATGTTTTTCTTTGCAGAGCAGCAGGGGTGGAGGGCACAGTGATGAAGATGAGAGGAAATTGCCATTTACTATCTGGGCACCCTGAGATGGGAGCAAGAAGTTTACTTCCCTGAATGCATCAAACAGGAGATTATTAGGAGATTCTGCCTTGAAAGTCACTTCCCTGAGCCTTAGACTAGAAAGAGACAGAGGAAGTATGTCAGCCATCAAAGGTTGGGGGGGGGCAACTGTTTGCTGCACTGAGAGGTGGGCTGCCAAGATTGAGGCAGTTTACTTTGACAACGTCTACTATGAAAGGCAGCCCAGCTCGATCTCTGAAAGCTCAGAGTCTGTACTCAGGCAGCCCTGAGCTGGAACCAGAGTAATAGCAGTGGTAATCACAATAGGTCCCCAGTGATGGGAACAGATCATAACTTCTGACAGTGCAGAACCATCAGGAGTTATTCTGAGATTCCACAGTCAAAAACATTTAAACTTGGTGGGCGCTAGCTACCTATTCTAGCTCAGGGGTCATTTAGACCAGTAGTTTTTCTGGAATCCCACGCATTTAAATACGTCCTTACAGGTTCTGAGCCAGGAAGGCATGATCTGATCCGTGAGCTACACTTTGAGGAAAGCCTGGTTTAGTTCAATGCACCCATGTGCACCTGCGGCTCCGAGAGGGCGAGGTGATTGATGTGTTCCCGGTGTTCCAGGGCACAGTGGGCGGGTGGCAGAGCCCTCCTAGACCTCCAGGCACCCCCATTCCATCCTGTTCTTCTCCCTGACTCGGCGTTTAAGCCACACAGAAAGGTCCAGCAGGGCCTCACTGCTTACAGACCTGCCTGTCCCAGCCTTCTCCCAGGTCAGATTCTGATAGCTGAAGGTCAATTTCTTCAACTAACTTCTATCTCTCCAGAGAGAGAAGGTGCTATACTCCTGGGAAAACCCCTGTTCGTGCTCTTTATGTAAATTGGGCCTGGTGGAGTCATTTAGCCATGAATTCCTTGCTGCTGTAATCAGTTTTAACCTCCCCTTAGCGTTTCAGAAAATCAATGGCAGTACGGAGGCTGTTTAAAAAGAGTCCACTTAGAGGAAACAGAAGACACACAACAGAGCCGTGGGGACAGGATTTGTGTTTCTGGAGCACTGGGGATGGCAGGGGGTTGACAGGATAGAAGCCACATGGCGTCTTGGCTGGCTTTATTCACTTAGACCACTTCAGAGTGGGCTGACGGGGGGGGGGGGGTATGAAGCCCTGCGGCTGCTACTAGCTGTGTCATGACCACATCGCAGGACATCTGAAGGGAGACTGTTTGGGAGCTGGTCCATGGCAGGTCACGCGATACAGGGGTTAAGAGTCTGGGTCTGGAATTAGCTGCACTGCTTAGCCTGTCGCATAGTACTTTTCTACAGATCCTAGTCATCAGTACCCCTTCCTTCTCTAAGAGAAGAAAACTAACACACGGTGAGCATTTAACCGTGGGTCAGGACTGCACAACCGATGAAATAGGTACCATTATCTTCCCCATGGAACAGTTACGCCAACTAAACCTTCAAAAACTTCCTCGACCTGTGTATTCTATTAATTATCCGAGGGAGGATGAGAACCCAAGGGCTGTGTGCCTCCAAAGCTCATGCTCTTTATACTGCCACCTTCCTTTTATGTGATATGCTAAGTGCTAAAGGAAACACTGCCATCCCTTGGTATTTGTAGGGCATTGGTTCCAGGATCCCCACAGATACCAAGATCTGAGGATGCTCAAGTCCCTTATGTAAAATGGCGTAGTATTTGCATATGACCTAAGCATATCCATATACTTTAAATCATCTCTAGATTGCTTATAATTACTAATACAATGAGTAAATACTATGTACATCGTTGTAAATAGGACTATGGAAATCCTCCTAAGTACAATGTAAATGATACATAAATAGTGGCCAGCACACCGCAAATTCAAGTTTTGCTTTTCGGGGCTTTGTGGATTTTTTTTTCCTGTACTATTTTCCATCGGCAATTGGTTGGATCAGCGAATGCCGAACTCTTGGATGGGGAGAGCCGCCTACGCTCATTTCCATTTCACACAGAAGGAAACTGAGGCATGGAAACGTAAAACTAGACTGGCTTCAAGACAGAGCTAGCAGAGGGCAGGGCAGGGATTCAACCTCACGTCGGTCTGATTTTGAAAGCCCTTAGCACTGCTTCCCCATGAAAAGCAACAGCGAAACCCAAAGCCAGGCCTGCCCCACCCAGGACGCTGATCTGACTCGGACTGGGGGCAGTGGGGAGAGCCTGACATACCAGCAGGTTCACGGTGCAGCTCATGCGGTTGTCTTTGCTCTCGTCCGTCATCACGCCCCGGTAATCCAGCAGCTTCTCGAGGAGGCCTTTGACCAGGTTCACAAAGTTCTCCACAGACTTGGAGATGCTCGGGTGTTCTGCAGCACACTCCATCAGGCTGTGGCACAGACGGGAGGGCAGTGAGATCCCGGCCAGGGGAGGAAGAGTGGGCTGGGGGTCAGGAGCAGGGGCAGCGCAGGGCTGGGGTGGGTGGAGTTCAAGCCAAACAAACCAGTGATCCAAGCTCCCCTGGCTCATTAGCTCATTTTGTGCCTTTATTTCATAACTTACCTATGCACCTGTTTGCCCATACAGTGCAGAATGTATTTACATTTTTTTCCTCACCATCAAAATGAGAAAAAATAAAAATACATTCCTAGTGTGGGCAATGGTGTGGAGACACGGTCACTTTTACATACCTATGTTGGGACTAAATCAGTACAGCTTTTTTGGGTAGCAATTTTCACAGTATCTGTCAAGCTGACGTACGTATCCTTTGATCCAATAATTCTATCTTAGGGAATCTATTCTACAGAAATAATTCCAGAAGTATGCAAGGATGTATTTATAATACTTACAAATTATGTCTAACAATTAAATAGTTGGAATCATCTTAAATATCCAATTAAAGCATATTCACACAATGTGATTCTACAAAATCATTAAAAAGTATGAGAGACCAGTATGTTTTGACACGAAAAGCTCTGTAAAATATATAGTTGAGAAAAGTGAGTCTCAGAACAATATTTGGGTTTTATTTAACCAACTCACATAAAACCTACCATATCCCAGGCATTATTCTAAACGTCTTATAAATTTTAACTCACTTAATCTCCCGTCACAGTCTTATGAAATGGGGTGTTTGCAGATGGGGAAATGAATGCACAGAGAGGTCAACTAACTTGTCCAAGGTCATACAGTTGGTAAATACCAACAGTCTGGCTCCAGCATCTGCTCTCAACCACCAAATGCTATACGTGAGTGGAAGTGCATGTCTACTTTATGTGTGTCTGTGTGTTTATAAATGTGACAGACATGGTCCAGAAGGATAAACACAAAACTATAAATAGATGTTGCTTATGACAAAAGGTCTAGGAAGAGGAATAGAGGAAGACAGTGTTCATTTTCAACTTAAATGTGCGAATAGGATTTGAACAATTTACAACATGTACTGCAACATTAACAGTCTAAATTTTTTTAAATGGTGACATTCCTTAAGTACCCATTACTATGCATTGTGCAGGGTGGGGATAGGGAGAAAGATATAAAAGTTAAAAAGAAATATGAGAAGAATCATGCCTACCCTCAAGCAGCCCACAGGCTAGGTAGGGACAGACAGATGGATTAAACTTTTGATGAATGACTACTTCTTATTAATCACTTATTCTACACCAGAATGTACTGATCACTCTTTCTCAGGAAATGATCACAGTAATTCTGCTAGATAAAAATTACTCCTCTCATTTTACAGATGAGGAAATCAAGGTTTAGAGAGGTTGAATATCCTTCCCAAGATGACTGCAGTAGTGAGTGGTGACCTTGGGAATCAAGACAATCACTGTTCAATATTTCCCGCAGAGAAACACTGTGATGTGTTCTCAGGCATCTGGAGCAGACAAACATTTCCCAGGCTGTTTGCTTCTGCCTACACTTCCTGTAGCAGTTTAAGTCCCAAGAGCTCCTAGGAGGGAGAAGGGGAGGAAGGCAAGGACTCTGGAGGGTCATTTTGCCCAGAAACCAAACCAGGCTGCAAGGAGGCGACATCTCAAACTGTGGCTGTGATCAGACAAATCCATCTTTGCTGTGGGAGAAGCACCTGTTCCCTGGTCTCAAGGAGAGATGCAAATTGCCCTGTGATTTAGGCTTGTCTGGCTCAGTCACAGCTGTGCCTAACTCCTTCTGGGATGGTCACTTCCAGCCCTGCTTTCCATCCTAATGACAATGCAAGGAAACTTTGTCCCACTGTTTGGGGTGTGATTTCTCCCAGCCTCCCAGGTAGAAGGCATCTCAGGGTCTGAGCATGGCCAGACCAGTGCTTCTCTGCCTTCTCTGCCCTGGCCACATGCTAGAATTACAAGGGGAGCTTTTTTTTTTTTCAAACCAAAGCTCAATGTCCACTCTTTGTATCTTTGGGGATGGGAGCCAGGCAGCAGTATTTCATTTTTTAAGTTTTCTAGGTGGTTCGAGTGTGCAGCCAACATTAAGAACCACTGGTTTTGTCCACTGCTTTGCAGACTTCATTGTGCATGGAAATCACCGGGGGATTGTAGTCATTGATTGTGATTCAGCAGGTTTGGGCTAAGGCTTGAGATTCTGCATTTTTAACAAGCTCGCAGGTGATATTATGCTGTTGGTCCTCTGAGAAGCAAGGGCTTAGAAACACCAAGTCTTGGCTTTCTTAGTCTCTTTATTCTTTAGCCATGAGGTAAGAAAGCTGCTCACATGGTCTAGGATTGGCAAGACGGATGGGCAGATTGGTTTGAAATCACCCATCCATCCACCTTCCACCATCATCCATCGATCCATGCACTCAACATGTGCTGTTCTGGGAACCAGGGATTCAGAGATCTCAGAAACAGAGATTCACTCACCTCCAGTCCACAGTCTAGCGGTGGAAACAGATATAAAAATAAATACTAACCATAACATGTGATACTACCACTTACTGAGCACTTCCTGCGTTCCAGATGTGCTAAGCCGGTTTTATTGATTACCTTGTTTAATACTCGCATAGTCTCCTTGAGGTAGGCATCATTATCGCCCTCAATTTGTAGACTAGGCTCGAAGCCTGTGGGGGTGGGTTCTCATCTCAGCCCTGCCAAGGTCACAAAGCGGTTTCCCCTCCTTTGAGTCCAACAATGGAGTGTTAAGTGACAATGAAAAAGAGCTGTGAGACGCGAAGTGGTGTCACAATCCCTCATGTGGTGGAAGGAGGGGTGGCAGAGCCCTCGCCACTCCGCATCTATGCTCCTGTCTTGGGGGTGCTGGAGGGAGCTCCCACCTCCCCAAATTGATCTGCATTCAGCATGAGAGGGCTTCAGAGGGGGGAGCCCAGGCCCACACCCTCTGTCAGTGCTGATGGAACTGGACTTTCATTTATTCCTTTAAAAACTATGCATGGTGAGCTTCTTATGACAGGTCCTCTTCAAGGCACTGGGCTGGATCTAGGCCCCAGAACACACATTCTCTGTCCATTTCAGGCTTTCACTTCTAGAGACATTCCTGGGCAGATGGAATACAGGAAGGTAGAAAGTGTCTCATTACTCCACTCAGTGTGGGGCCCTCACTTTTAAGACAGATATGGACAAATGGAAGTGGGCTCCAAGGAGAGCTCTAAGGATAAGGGAGGAGTGGGACGCTGTGTTAGGTTGTGCACTGCACAAGAGCACATGACTACTGGAATTCAGCACCACTCCATGCCCTAACCCTTGTGCCTTGATGCAAGGCTTCAACTGCCACCGGATGGGAAGACTGCTCTGTTCACAAAGGCACCATCCAATTATCAAGCCACATGCCCACAGAACTGTGCCCAGAGAGGGAGACCCTGAATGAGGGGCTGGGACGAAGGGCTAGAGGAACTGAGGTTGACTAATCTAGTCTGGAAGAGAAATGACAGGTAGGCTCATGGCTTCAAACAACCACATCAGAATCCACCTGATCAATGATAATAGTAGCTACTCTTTCCAGACTACCTACGAGGTGTCACCAACTGTGCTGAGCACTTTTCATGCCTTTTCCTGTTTATGCTCAATAAAAACTCTTAAGAGCTGGACCGCATTTTTATCCCCAATTTGCAGATAAGGAAACTGAGGCTCCAAAAGTCAAAAGGAAGGAGCAGGGGCTTGGCCCCTGGATGTTCTGATGGGGTCCTGACTCTTAGGGTTCGGCTTGATTAGCTTTGCAAAAACCATTCACACCTCTATTTCAGGAGAAAAATAATGAGCTGTTTTTCATTTCCTCGACCTCTAAGGACTCCTTTTTATAAATAATCATTCAGGAAGGATTTGAAAAGCCTGCTGATCGTCTGAAGACTGGCCGCAGAGCCCCATCCGCTTATAAAAATGGAAATTGCCAGCACCTTCCCTGGTTTCGCTTCTGGTCAATATTTAGACGTTCCTTTCTTGAGCTTTAAGAAAAACATTAACTCAGGCAAAATGCCGCCATCCCTCTGGATAATCAGTCTCAATACCCACCGTAGGAGCAGACAGTGGGTTCTCCTCTGGCTGAGTGGCGTTTGCTCACTAAGTGTCTAGTGAGGGCTGTGCACAGTGGACAGGAGGGGGCGAGGCCAGCAGGGATGGTGCTGCCCGGCGCTCAACTCTGCCCGCTGGGCAGGGCACGGAGGGTCACTGTGAGGGTTAGAACAGGACCCTCAGTCTGCCTTTGTTGTTAAAGTTAAAATATTCAGAGGATTGGGGAAAGAATCCAAGATCAGATTTATATTACAGAATCAAACAAATCAGAGAATCTACGATTAGGAGTGAATTTGGGATGTCTGAGCCACATTCCTGAACCTCAGGAGAAGTCCTCGCCCTTCTCGTGGTGTCGGAGATGGAAACTGGGAGTGGGGCAAGGGATCAGAGAACATTTATTGAGATTCTACTGGCTGTGTGCACATGCTTTATAGTTATTCATGCTTCAGTATAACCACAGGCGGCTTACTATCCCCATTTTACAGATGGGGACACTGAGGCCAATGGTGTTGCATGATTGGCTTAACATTGTGCAGCTGCTAAGTGGTGGAACCAGGATGAAAATCCAATGTCTTTCTCCAAAGATATACAAATGGCCAATATGGACATGAAAAGATGTTCAATATCATTAACCATGTAGGAAATGCAAATTGAAATGACAATGAGATATTTCATACCCACTACGATGGTTATAATCAGTAAAATAGATATTAACAAGTGTTGAGAAGGATAAGGAGAAATTGCAACTCTTGTACATTACTGGTAGGAAGGTTAAGTGGTACAGTTGCTTTGGAAAACAGTCTGATGGTTCCTCAAAAGGTTAAACTCAGAGTTGCCATATGACCCAGCAATCCTACTCTTAGGTATACACCCAAGAGGACGGTAAACATATGTCCATACAAAAACTCAGACATGGAAGCTCATAGCAGCATCACTCCTAACAGCCAAAAGTGGAGACGGTCTAAATATCCATCTGATGAACTAATAAACAAAATGGGGTATACCCAATCAGTGAAATATTAGTCAGCTAAAAAAGAAATGAAATATGGACACATGCTACAGCATGGATGAAGCTTGAGAACATGCTACGTGACTCGTGAAAGACGCCAGTCACAAAGGACCATGTGCTGGATGATTCTATTTACAGGAAATGCCCAGGACAGACACATCCACAGAAACCTCAAAGTAGGAGAGGGGAGGACAGCTAAGGGATACAGGCTTCCTCTTGGGAGGTAACAAAAATGTTCTAAAATTCGTTGTGGTGATGGTTGCCCAGCTCTGTGAAGATACTAAAAGCCACTGAATTGTACTCTTTAGGTGAACTGTATGGTATGTGAATTATATCTCAATAACCTGTTAAAACAAAACAGTGTCCTAACTCCACGTCCAGCGCTCTTGGGTGCTGTCCATGGTCCACTGCCTCACCAGGCCTGTGCACTGGAGTCCAGCAGAGCCAGGCTGGGGTCCCAGCTTGACCACTTGACTAGCTTGGCCTAGTGTCCTCAGACAAGACACTTCCCCGACCTTTAGGGGCCACCTCTGTGAAATGGGATCAAACAGAAACAACTAAACGAGGCAATACATGGAGAGCATTTCGCGTGGTTTCCCTGCATTACATGTGCTCCGTAAATGTTGGTTGTGATCAGTATCTGCCAAAGATTCACAAAGAAAAGAGGAGAAGACAGCAAGAATTATTCCACAGCTGAGAGAGAACAAAAGTGAACATTTGGGTGGATTATTCCCCTCTTCCCAAAACAGCGAAGTTCCTTTTTATCTGGCCCATTCCATCAATATCAAAGAAACAGCCACTGCAGAGAGAGATGTGAGGTTTCTTCCAAAAATGGAGTATTTCCAATATCTGTGAGCCTCCAGATTGATCTCCAGGGGAAGACAGAGCCACGAGAGTTCCCTGGAGTCCTGAGCCCTCCAGCCTCAGGCCCGCCTTCCTGGCTCCTCCCCTCCCCCCCGCGCTGGGCACTGAACTTACATTGACTCCAGCAGCTGCATGTACTGTTCGTCCCCTCGGCCCCCTTCCACCTCGTGGTCCAGCTTGAGGATGATTTCGTTTTCAAACTGGAGAAGTAGGGGATAAAAATCAGCAGTAATGTTATTAGAAGGCGGAATGTTGAAATTGGTCAATTCATAATTTTAATCAAAGCTTTAGGGAGCATTTATCATCTCCCAGGTTTAGTGCTGGGAACTGGGAGTGCAAAACACAACAGGATGCTATACCGGCCTTTTAGGAGCTCCCGGAGAGCGGAGAAGACAACAGATGATAAGGGCTGGAGCAGAGCGATGGACACAGGAGGCAGAGGGAAAGAGAGAAAGTCTGCAGGGAAGACTCATAGCCCATGTCATTTGAGCTTGTTCTCAAGTTTATGTTGAAATATTTCAGGAGAATGGAAAGAGAAAGGGCATTCTAAGCACATGGTAAGTAAGACATATGAAAGGCATCGAGGGGTGGGACCGAGTACTGCTCTTCAGGAAATGGCATGTCATGAGCAGCTATTATTTCTGCCTGCCTAATATTCCTTTCTTTATACTTTGGTAACCACATCAGCCCAAATCTCAGTCTGTGGGACTCAGTGAGCTGACCACACCTCCCTAGCTTCAGGTGTGGGTACATGACACAGGCCAAGCTCCTGATCAGTATCTTTCATTATCTAGACCCTACAATTAATAGAGGCCCAAACCAAGCCAGTGAGACTCACATGTGAGGTTCTGTGGGCACTCTTGGCAAAAAGAAGTCTTTCTGCTTAATTAGAAGATTATAAGTCCAAGGCTGCTAGATATGACCACAATGAAAGAGCCTGCCAATATGGAGGAAAGCAGACAGGAGGAGATGGAGAGAGACTGAAAGCTGATGCCATTTTTGAGCTCCTGAATCCAGCCATACCTGAAGCTGTCCTATTTACATGAGCTGATGCCTCAGAGTCAAGACTGGTGACAATGGTAATGGTCAAGGATCAGACTAGCTAAGTGACCTGAAAGTAAGTATACACATCCAGCTTCACCAAATCTTGTTAATATTGAAGCCAGAGAGTATCTTGCCTTCCAATGTTCAATGTCAAGAAGTAGTTCACCTAGTTGAGCTCATAGCTTAGTCAAGAAAGGGTGGGACTAAGAAGGGAGACCTAGTTGGGAACCAATCTGGCGAGGGTCTGGGCTGCCAGTCTACACATGAATCATGCCCTTACAGGATGCAATTTGTCCAAGTCAAGTATCATCCAAAGTGCAGGACTGAGGGCTAGCATGGTAAGACATGTCTACTTGCCTAGCCTAAGGCAGGAGGAAATACAGCCAAAGGACTACAAGAGTGGGCTCTGATGTTAGGCTGTGGTTGGGGTAAATAAGCACCGGCTTTAAATGTCTCCTCCATCCCTTCCACCACCTTGGGAAAGTTGGTAGGTCTTTCCAATCCTCTGTTTCATAGTTTATATCAGAGCTTAGCAAACATTTTGCATAGAAGGCCAGACAGTAAATATTTTAGGCTTTGTGGGTCAGCTCCGCTGTTGTAGGACAAATGCAGCCGTAGCCAACACATACACAAATCGGCACAACTCTGTTCCAATAAAACTTTATTTACAAGAACAGGTGGCAGGACAGATTTGGCCTGGGGGCCACAGTTTGTTGATCCTGATCAAAACAACAGGCATAATAGTGGTACCTACTGCCCGGGGTAGCTGGAAGGGCTGGAGGAGACATGACTTACAAAGCAATGGAGGGGGTGCACAGGCCCAAGTGTGCACTGGGCTCGCTGGTCGTCTTATGATTACTGCTAATGTGATTGTTATTAGTGGCGAATGTTACTGGAAAGCAGCTCTGGTGGGGGGAGGGGACAGCTTTTTTTTTCTCATGTCTGAGTTGTTCAATGATAAATGCTGGCACGATTCCTCCTCGTGAGATGAACTTTCCTTTGGAGCCGAGAGGTGGATGGGGTAAATAAGCACTTGCCTCAGGGTCACAAAGGAGCCCACGGGGAGGGTAATTACAGGGTGCCAGGAATGTGCAGTGCTGATGACACCAGCCACGCCTGAGCCCTTCGGGGCGGGTTGGAGAGGGGAGGTCTCAGTCAAGCACATCCCAGGGCAGGCTCTGGCCCTTCATGGGGCTGCTGGGTGGGTGCCGTGCTCAGGAGTTGGCTATGACTGCAGGCTTTGGCATCAGCCAGACTTATAGAGTCCTTGCTTTGACTGCTTTCCCCATCATGTGACCCTGGGCAAGTTATTAAGCCTTTCTGAGGCTCGGTTTTCTTGTCTATTAAATGGAGATTTAAAATAGCATCTACTTTACAGCAATGCTGGGGGAAGTTAATGGGAAAGTATGAGTGAAAGGCCTGGCCTGGGGCTTAGCGCATCGTTAAGTGCTGGATATTAGCAATTGCCACCATGACATTGTTGGCACTGTTCTCATCATTACCACCGTAATCTCATTTAACCTTTACAACAGTCAATGGAGATAGTTATCATCCTTCCCATTTTATAAATGAGGAAACTGAGGCAAAGTGGGATCTTTGTCTTGGGTTTCAAAGGATGGATGGACTTGACCTAGGACAGGCCCCAGGGTCCCACACACACACTAAGCCATGTCAGCATGACAGGCTCTACCTCCAGCACTGTCACTATGCAGAACTTAGGGCATAGGTCTAGCTCCTCCACATTAATTCCATTTCATCACATCACTGACTCCTCACCCTGTCCCCGCGATGTGGATATTGGTTAAGGTTAAGGTCAAGGTTACTTTTGCAGCAGTTAGACACAGCAGATGCCCAGTTAGGAAAAGGGGAGTGAGCTCGAGTTGCCCAGACCTCCCACTGGGCCCCCCTCTTGCAGCAGAATGACCTCACGTGGGCCCCACATTTGCATCATGCCTCCCCTGCATTGCTTCCACTGACTTTAGAACCTGTTGGCTATTTTCATCATCTCGACTGCCTAAGGACATTTTTTTGATAGGAGCCCAACCCCACCAAAGTGTGAAATTTAGGGAGCAAGAGGTCTTTTTCAGAGGTAATTTGCTGACTGTGACATGGGAGGGGCAGAGATGGTGTGACAGGCCAGGATGGCAGAGAGACAGGATGAAACTAGCAGCAGTAGGTCAGCCTGGGGCCTCCTTTGGTAACTAAATGCCTGGTGTCCCGGGGTGGGTGGAGGCTGACTTGGGAGGAAGCTGGAGAAGACAGTGTCATGTGAGGAAGGATGCCGATGGGAGTCAGTGCAGGTTCCTGATTTTCTTTGAGTTATCTCATCTCTTCCTGCTCCATTTCATCCCCCATGGAGCTTGGGTTTGGGAACCTATAATGGTATTATGATACACATTTAATGGATGAAAAACTGAGGCTGAGGAAAGTTAGATAACGTATCCAAATGTACTCAGCTTATAAGCAGCATGTCTATTTGATTCCAAAGCACAGTGTCCAGGAGACAGTAGATGCTCAGTACATATTTATCGAATTGATTTGCTCTTTTCCACATTACGTTCTAAGACATTTGAATTGCCAATTCACTCCACGCCAAGATTCGGTCTCAGTGGAATCTGCCAAACTGATTATCTCCATCCATGAATTCATTCAACAAGCAACTATGGAGTTCTGCTGTGTTCCAGGCACTGTTTTAGGTGCTGTTGTCAAATGCTATTGTCTCTTCCTTCTCAGAGAGGGATTCTCTCTGGACCTCCTGCCTGCCGAGGGCCCAGGCCCTCATGCTGATTAGCACATAATCCTGTTCTACAATCTGCAACATAGGTAACCACTCTGCTCAGTCTCTATATCCAGCACCTCCACTCCTTCCCCACCAACATCAGCTAGAAAGCCCACAGCCCCTCCCCCTACAAAGAATTGACCAGCAAGACAGCTGGTCTACCCAGCCCCCAGGGGCTACTCAGGCAGTGGTCAGCCACCTCCATTACCCTACACTATACAAACATTCACAGGGATGTTCCTCTCTGTACCAAGGCTCTTCCTCTGAAATGGGGTGGGATGGGGGTCTAAATGCACCCCTGCATACTGAGAACATCGACATGGTTCATGTTGTATTAAAGCCAGGCACTTGACAGGTGCTGGAGCTCAGGCCTGAGAAAACCACTCTGGCCTCAAAGAGCTCACACTCTTGTGATGGAGAAGACCTATGAGCAGACAGTCATGCTTTCTAAGGTATTTAACCTCAAAACCCTCTTCCCTAGAGCATCTGGTGGAATCAATGCTCTATGGAGCATATTTTGAGAACGCACTGCCATTCATTCTTTCATTGAATGAATGAAATGAGCCAGCACTGAAATGCTGAGCCAGCACTAACTCCACCAGTTCGAGTGGCTGGACCACAGAGTGGGCACAGCCTGGGCTTGGGAGTCTAGTGACCTGTGTGTTGGAGTCTAGTGACCTGTGTGTTGCAGCCTCTGCTCTGCCTCTTGATGTGTGACTCTGGGTAAGTGGCTTCATTCCTCTAAGCCTCAGTGTTTTCACCTTAAAAATTGGGGCCAGAATGTTGTCCACCTCATAGGGTTGTAAGAGAAAAGGTGACATGAACTAACGTATGGAAAGTACTTACAGTACCTGACACGTAGTAGATGTCAGGTTAATGGTCACTGTCACCACCATCATCATCATTTCTATTAGATGAGAAAGATGCAGAAAAAATCACAGACATAAGTATAGTGCAAGGTAGTGAATAATAACCATATGTGAGACAGACAGAACGACAGAGGGCAGAGATCTCTTGAAGGATGAGCACTGAGGTGGGCTTTGCAGGATCAATAGGAGTGTAGATGGTGCTGGCAGCCAGGACCATGAACGTGGCAGAGCAGGAGAAGAGGAGGAGACGCATGAAGAAGATGCTCACCAGGGCAAAGCAATTCAGGTGAGCTGCGGGGATGCCTGCAGAGTAGGTGAGGCAGGGGAAAGAGCTGGAGAAAAAGACTGGAAAGGTTGACTAAAGGCCAGGGCAAGGAGGACCTGGAATGCAGGCTACAGGATGTGGACTTACTAAGTGAGGATTAAAGAACCAATGAGCAAAGGATGGGTAAGATCTGTAAGGATTTTAAGGAAAGGCAGTTTGGAATCTGCTGTCTTTTAGAGGGCAGTTAGAAGGTACTTAGGAACCTGTTTAAAGGAATATTGTTTGGCGGCAGGATGTGGTATAGAATGAGAGGCAGGGAGTGCTGAGGGAGGAAGGGGTACCACCATGTGACATAAGAAGGGGGGCTGAGAGCACAGGAGATCAAGATGTGAGGGCACCACCGAGGCAGCCTCCATGGAACTTCAAGACCGACCTTCCTAAAGTAGACGTGGCTACTGAACATTGCCAGGAATCTGTCCTGAAAACCAGTGCTTGTTCCACTGGCGGCAGCGTCTGGACCCAGAAAATGGTCCTCATTCTTCAAGTTTGACGGGATTTTCAATGAAAATACTTGGCCCGTGGCCCTTGCCTTTGACACAGGTTGCTCACTCCCTCCATGCTGGGGAAGGCCTCCGTTCCTTCCCGTGGCGGATCTGCGGGGCCCTGCTGAGCGACGGGAACTCTAGCTCTGCTGGCTGTCAACCTGGACGTGCTGCCAAGTCTGACACCTGGAGGGGTCAGCTCTTTCCTGGCAACGCAGATCTTCCAAGTGTTCCCAGAAATGGACGTGCTGGACAGAGGTGGGTGCCAGACGGGGGCGGGTGGGAGGGGAGGCCCCTTTGGACACATCTTGAAGGAACTCTTAGTTAGGGAAGCAAGGTTTTTATATTGTTGAGAAAGGGACCAGCTGATCCACAGCAAAGAAAGAGCATTTTAATTTCGGCCTTGGGCAGGAAAGCCTGATAGAATACTGACCAAATCCGATCTGCCAGCTCATTCCGGGCACATGAATAAATGTCCCCGGCCTGCCGTCAAGCCTCAGAACGAAGCCCAGGCAGATGGAACGAGGATATCATTATTGGGAAATGGGCTGGGGATTAGGGATGCTGGCACGAGTTTCCAGCCTCGTTTTTTACCTTTTTGAAATCCCCACTCCTTTGATATTCGCACAGCATCATGTCGAAGAAGATTGGTATGGTAGCTTTCCGGAGCTCAGCCTCAGGGATAAGTGTCATCTCTAATATAGGTCCCACCATGCCCGGGATGAAGCAGATTTTGTTCTGGCCTGAAAGAGAAGAGGGGCACGGAACCGTGAGACAGATTTCACAACGCACAGGTTCTCCTCAGACCAAGACTGGGGAAAGAAAAAAGGCAGGCAGAATAGTGAAAACAACAGTTAACACTTATATCGCTGTTTACCAGGAGCCAGGCACATTTTGGACACTTTACATATATTAACTCCTGGAAAAGACGCATGCATCACCCAAAGCGAGCACCGCTGTTCTGGATAATAACCCAGGCATGTGTAAAGCGCGTCACAGTTCACAAGGATTTTCACCTGCATCGTCTCTCTGCAAATAGGGCCCTGATGGAATATGTTAGTGACGGCAAAATCACAGGGATATTGGAAATCACGTCTGTCTGCAACACGAGCCATGTTTCTGAGGTTTGGAAAACATGCTTTTACCAATGGTTTCATGAAAACATGAAAAACAAAATTTGCTGCCGAGAATGGTCAGTGTAATCGTGGGAGTCACAACAGCACTTTCTGGTCAGATGAACCACAACGTCTTGTTTCTTCTGCCTCATTTCAAGGCCTTCCTGCGCCCCCTCCCCTGGCTCTTGGCAGTCTCGTCTCGCTGGCCTGGTTCCAGTGTCACGAGCTCACCTCGCTTCCTCACCGCCAAGCCTGTGCACACACTGCTCCTTTGTGGATAATATTTTTCCTGCCTGTTCCCCAACACCTGCCCATTACCACCTGGCTTCCTCTGGATGGATGTGCTGAGAAAAGCCCTACCACATGCTTACCCCCTCACCCCAGCTAGGTTAGATACCCTGCACTGGCTGGGGGTCTGTCTTCTCAGCCAACCCTGCAATGATGTCTTTATGTGTGCATGCGTTTGATAAACATCTGCCTCCCCCACGGAGAGTTTGTGAGAGTACAGACCATGTCTGTTCTCATTACTGTATCTGTAGCACTGAGCATAGAACATATTAGATCCTCAATAAATGTCTGCTGAATGAAGAAATTTATTTGTCTAGCTCCCGCATGCACTGGCTATGTGACTTGGGTATGTGTCTTATAAAAAAGCAATCAACACCCCCCTGTTGAGAAGACCATGGGAAAATACATCTGTGTATACCCAGCGCAGAGCCGGGAAGAATCATGCTCCCCCTACCCGGGGAAGGGGGCAGTGTGACCCAGTGGTTAAGGGCACTGACTTTTTGTCTGAATTACGGAAACGGGATTCCGCCATCAAGTAGCTACGTGATGCTGGGCAAGCTGATCTCACCTCTTGAGGCCTCAGTGTCTTCATCTGTAACATGAGAGAGCAGCAGTGTTTATTTCGTACGGTTGTTGTGAAGAGTGAATGGATTATCATTTATCAAGTGCCCAGGACAGTGTTTGGCACAAGGCATACTTTACACAGTGTTAGCTATCACTGCTGTGATGCGTGGCCAGAACGAACCACAAAGGGCAGCCTTGTTGAGCAGAACGGAGCAGATGCCTCAGAATACACACATCAGATGTGGCAGAGAAGGGGAAAGAAGAGGGGCACTTAGGGACCGCAGGGATTTCCTGGGGAGCGCAGGGAAGCCTACCCTAGCAGCCCTGTCGTTGAAGCTGCCCCCCGGGTGTTTCAGCAGCAGCTGCCTCTCTCTCCTCCTGAGTCTCAGAGCCCACAACGCCCATCCTGGTTTTCCCTACCCTCAGGATGAACACGGGTGGTCTTTGCCTGGGGCAGAGGGCTCCTGGGGCGCACAGACTCAGGCCATGCGGCGTATAGCCTGGCACTGTTGCTTTCGATTAAAACTGAGAAAAGGAGCCAAGAGGGAAGGCAGCAAGAAAATGAATTTTAATTCAGCCTAAATGAGGCTTAATGTTGGAGTATTTCCCCAGAATTCAGATAAAAAAGGAATATCTTCAGTTAGTGAGAATGAAATGGCGAAGTCAGGTGGAGAGTTGTGTGAAATATAAGGACACTTTTCCAAGATATCAGCTTTGTTATATGATGCATTTGGATTCTACCTTGCTTTGGCCCAAATAGAAAACAAAAAACAAACCAAAAAACCCCTTACTTTCCTGCAGATTTATAGCAACTGCTAATCTAGGTTTCTGATTTTGTCCTTCAAGATCCTTTAAACCCACAGTGGGGTTTTAAAATTCGAAGCTGAGTGCAATATTAAGTAGAAGGTAAATGGGAAACTGTCAGATAAGCCACCACGGAACGGAGAAATTGCTTATGCAACAAAGGCCTTTAGAATACTGGAGGGCACCGGGTATGAGATAAGGATAGACTTAAAATGGTTTAAAATAAAGAGCAGACATGCCACAGACCAGGGATTTCTTAGACATTTTTGACCTGCATTCTTTGCAGTCAGTTGAAGAGATGTTTGGAAGAACAGGGAAAGAGAAGACAGAGAAAGATGCTGATCTCAATGGCCCACACAATACTGCACAAAGAAATTTTATTCATTTATACTGAAAGTGCAATTTCAGCACATTGGATTTTGTGTTCATGTTATCTGAATATGTGCCTTTATATACATAGATGCGTGCGCACACACACACACAGAATATATTTGTGGCTAATTGAATGCAAACTCATTTGAGAAAAAAATTCCTCATTCAAGAGACATACCTGCTGCTGTTTTTGAAAAAAAGGCAAGGAACTGGGTGAGAGGGTCTTTTTCACATAATGGAAGCTGAATCTCACTGGGAATAGATACCAATTAGAAAAGGCTTTTAAAGTGCCGATAAGCCAGCGGGATAAATCCAAATGCCGAATTACACAGGCTTTGGGAAGGGATCTGGCGGTAATGAGAGCGGAGAAGAGCTTAGGTGTGCAGGGCAAGCAATCCCCTGTGCTCTCTGGCCTCGGTGTCCAGTCTGTGCAATGGCCTCATCCATCACCCCTCGCAGGGGGAGACGGTGAGATCGAACACAAAGGGTCTGAGGGCACTAAGAAGGCAGCCTGGCAAGAAAGAAAGAAAGAAAGAAAGAAAGAAAAAAGGGAGAAGGAAGGGAGTGGGGTAGGGAAGGAGGAAGGAAGGAGACAATCCTGTGAACCAGGCTGAGAATGAAGGTGGCCCAGTCACTGACCTCAGGAGGCTGTCGTGGGACAAGGGCTTGAGCTGACAGTGTGAGGCCCTCTAAGGGCTGGCACAGACCCTGAGATGAATGGGATGAGGGCAAGTTATCACTCCCTCGATTTCAGAGTCCCGTAAGCCTCCTGGGGACTCTGAAATCAAGCCAGGCTGATCAGAAAAGACCACTCGCTCACTTCAGAAGAGGAGGAAAGAACACAGATCTCTGCTCCCTCATCTCAGGCGCGGAAAAGCTCCCTCCCGGCACTGCCCTGTTCACTCCTCATCACTCAGAACATGCCCGGCCCTGGCTTCCCTCCAGGCCCTGTAGAATCTCCAAGCCCCCAAAACCTGGGTCAGATCCCTCCACTGCCACTCCAGGCCATGTGGCTTTGTGACTGTCACTTCATGTCCCTGAGCCCCTGCTTTCTCATCTGTTAAATACACGGAAATAATAATAATAATCCATGCCTGGGAGAATTGTTGAGAAGCTTAAGACAAAGGGCTTCGCACAGGGTCTGGCTCCCTAGAAAGGCTCAGGAGGTGCTGATGTGCACTGTGACGGTGACGATGGGGAGCAGTGTAAGCTCAGTCTACGCTGGGCTCTGGAAAAAGCAATGTGAGAAGACATGGTCCAACCTCATGGAGCCCCCAGGAGCTTTTCATGGAACTTTCCAGGCCGGTCAGTTTGTCTGCTGACCTCTAGAGTAAAGAGCTGGCGTGGGAAGAGGTAGGATGGATTTATCTTACCTCCCATGCCTGACATCCACCACCCTCCAGACCTTCTCTGTCCCATCCAAGCATGTTATAATCTGTCCTCAAACATGTTTGAAAAACCCCAGTCTTTGGCCCAATCATGTTGGTCCACAGCTTACAATCCTTCCATGGGTTCCACCGCTCTGCAAGTCCATTTGGTCTGAGGCTCCCTCTCCGTACCCTGTCTCACCCTCTGGTCCGCTTGCCTGCCTTCCTCCCCTGGCCTGCCTCCAGCTCCTCCAACACACCCTGCATCCCCCTTCTCAAGCCTGCACACGGTCCTCCTCTGCCCACCATGCTCCTCCCTCCCGCTCCCTGACCCCATTAGCACTCTGAATCCTATCGCCACCACAACTTGCCCTGATAACTTGCCTTCACCCTGTTCATTTAAGGGTCTGTGCCACCCTTAGAGGGCCTCACACTCTCAGCTCAAGTGCCCCTTGTCCCACGACAGCCTCCTGAGGTCAGGAGGCGATACATCCTATTCATTCTCTAATATCGTTCTATCCAGTGTGGAAGCCACATGTGCCCTTGAGCACTTGAGAGATGTCTAGTCCAAGCTGAGATGTGCTGTAAGTGTCAAAAGCCCACTAGATTTCAAAGATTGAGTTCTGGAAAACAAATTTTTAAAAAAGGCAACGTATCTCAATAATGTTTTGTATTGGTTACATGTTCTTCTGTAAAGAAATCACGTATTTTATTTAACCCTATATTCCAAAGTGTTATCATTTCGCACAGGGAACTCTATTCATTATCTTGTAACCTATAATGAAAAAGAATGTGAAAACGAACATATGTATGTATGTATACATATGACTGAAACATTATACTGTACATGAGAAATTGACACCTTGTAAACTGACAATACTTCTCTCTCTCTATATATATATAGTTAACATTAATTTCATTGCTTTTTACTCTTTTAAAAAATGTGGACACTAGAGCATTTAGTTCCGTAGGACAGCACTGCTCGGGAGCTCAGGGCTCCCCACGTTCCTCGTCAAGGCCACCTTCAGCTTCCTCACTAGGCAGGAGTCCTTTACATCCTCTCTGGGTGCCCCCAACTTCTGCTCTACAGCCCTTCCCCTTTGCAACCATGATTAAACAGCCCTGCAATTAGCATGTTACAGGACAGAGTCCATGAGGTCAGGGGCTAAGGCTCTAACTACCACTGTTTTCAGTCATAGCTCTGGCCACTGGCACAGTGCCTGGCATTTACAG